AGAGAGAGAGAGAGAGAGAGAGAGAGAGAGAGAGAGAGAGAGAGAGAGAGAGAAGAGAGAAGAGAGAGAAGAGAGAGCACAGAGCCGAGAAGAAAAAAAAAAAAAAAAAGTCTGACTCGTCGTCAAGACGAAGTGCAAAAAGAAAAAGAGCTTAAAAAGTCAGTTTTTTTTCAGAGCTGGTGAATGCTGTGTGCTGACCCCCGTGCTTGAGAAGGGCTGTGCAGAGGGCGTAGACTGTTCAGGACTCGTACTTTCGGGTCAATTGCTCAAGACTCGACACACTTTCAATAGCCAAAATAAAGCCAAATCATACAAAATAGACGGGAGCTTGCCGAGTTGGACGAGAGGAATAGCCAGCTATCATCATCCTCAACGTGGGTTCGCTCGTTGGCAGTATATCAAGCCCTTTGGCTCAGGGGCCTGGACTCATGGGCAAGCGCAAACACGACAACATGGCTGGCCTCGGGACCATTGCCCGGGGAGCCAAGGAACACGGCTCTTGTTGTGCTCATCCCCCACCAGGGGGGACTCCAGCCATGACGACAAATCACGGGGCCAACGCCCCCAATCATAACTCTAGATTTCAACCAAAACTTTTTTTATCAGAACAACCCAAGCAACAAGACCCCAAAATCAAACAAGAGAAGAAGAGGGCGCCCATGCACGTGATCATCCTTCTTCGAGAATGGGCTTGCCGGTGGCATCGGTGCGGGCAAAGGCGGCCTTTTCGGCCTTGGAGGCATCTTGATCGTGGTAGATGGTGCGGAGGAGGGTGCTGCTGACGCCTTCACTGCGCGGCAGGAAGAAGACGGGCATGTTGGCCTCGACAAAGTCGCGACCGGGAAAGTCAATCATGTCTTCGCCACGCACGTAGCAAACGCGACCGGCCTCGACGTCTTGCTTGGACACCATGGCGCGAATCCAAGGCGTGGGATTGGTATCGGGAATGACAAAGACCATGTCGGCAAAATTCTTGACGTGCTCAACGCGCTGCTGCGTGTTGTGAATGGTCTTTTTGTTCTTGAGCTTAAAGTAGCTCTCGTCGTCGTGCACGCCGACGACGACAAAGGTGCCAAATTCTCGGAGCATGCGCAGCATGTTCTCATGGCCGCGGTGGAAGAGGTCAAAGCACCCGATGGAAAAGACCTTGCGGCCCTCCCAGCTGGCATCGTGGGGCTTCATGTCGGTGACTTGGGCCAGCAAGGCGTCGCAGTCCACCAACAGCTGAGCTTCGACACGGGACCAGAGGCACTTCCACTGCTCGTGGGCTTTGCACTTTTCCAGATACGCCTCGAGCAGCGACGTGCCGACACGGCGGTCGTACTTTTTCACAATTTTGCGCACCGCCGTTGAGTTGAGCGACGCAAACTCCTGGTCGAAGGAAAATCGGGAGAACACACAAAGGCATGAGCCAAAGGGACTTTAGATGACAGTGGCATCAAAAGCATTGCGGCATCGGGACATCGGGGGCAGCTGGAGCGCAGTTGAATACGATGCAGCGCAACATGGCACGGCAACCGAGTTGCAAGCAAACGCACCGTCAAGAGGCGGATTTCGCGACGAAAATCTTGGATGGTCTTCTTGGCGTACAAATATTCTTCAAAAATGAGGGGACGGTGCAAATCGGCAGCGTCGTACACGCCACTTTCGCTCTGGAAACACGACAACAGGGCATTTGAGTGCACAACAAAAGGGTGCGGCGGGGGTCGACACGCCACGGGCTGAGGAGGGGGATGAAAGCCTACCTGATCGCTGGAACGGCTCGAGCGGCTCTTTTTGCGGTGGCGACGGATGTCTTCAGTCAGACGTTCGTGGTCCTCCGAGTCGGAGCTGTGTCGATGAGTGGATCCAAATGAGCGCGCACCGCAGGGCAACCATCTGAAAAAAAAAAGGACATTGAGCGAGGGTTGGACGTACTCGTCGTCTTGGATAGACTCTTGATCCGAGGAAGAGTTTTCAGTGTCGTCGGCAATATCGGGTACTTGCCAGGCACCAGTGCGGGCCATTTGCTCGGCACGCTCGCGAAGATTTTCCAGGTACGAGGTGCACCACTCTAGCTTGTGCTGATAAAACTTGGCAGCCTGGAATGCGGGGTGTATTAAAATGTGCCATGAGAACATGCCGGTGCGGTGGGGCGGTGGGGCAATGGCGTCACGGAAGAATCAGCGGAGGTGGGCGTTGTGTGGCAAGCCACCTGGTCTGGGAAAAACACACCTTGTCCAGTTGGTCTTCGAGGAGCGGAAAAAAGGCATCGTGAACCTTGGCTTGATCAATGGGGTGGACCAAGGTGTGATCCTTGATAATGGCCTTGAGTCCTGTGCGTCAACGCGTGGATACACCATGCGAGCATCAGCGGCAGAGATGGAAGAAGAAGCAGAGGAGGAGCAGGAGGAGGAGGAGGAGAAGGGGGAAGAAAAAAAAAAAAAAAACGGGGGCGCCTCTGGCACGGCGAGTGGGGGCATACCTGCGTAATTGATGTAGTAGAGGGTCCAGTCCCGAAGCTGGGCGGTTTTCATGCGTTGACCAAACTTCATGTTGCCGGTGCTGCAAACGGGAGGTGATGAAGCAAGGCGTCGATGAGTCAGAGGCGCATGGGCGATGCACCGATGAGGCGGCGCAAGAAACATCAGATGGTGATGACGGTGATGATGGTGTATGTGTGTGGGATGTGACCGGTGATCAACGCAGACACACCCGCAACACGAACAAAAAAATTCCCCACGCACAAATCAGGA